AAGGTAAAGATCCAAAATCCCCAGCTTTACCAAGAAAACGGTTTGGGTTTCAGACTGGTTTAAACTGCTGAACAAGCTGTGGCTAGTTGCAGATTGTTTCTTATGTCACTGATACAATAAAACAGAAGTAAAAATGTGACTGAAGAAACAAACCCTACTGCAGTCAACAGTCTGCGAACATTTCTTTGCAAACAGTAAATATTACAGTAAATACTAGGTTGTGGACATAAGAACACAGTATTACTGTTTAGAGGTTTACATTGTATGACATAGCTAAAATACATTCCAACATTCCATTGGGTCTGAACAAGGCTCAGGGGAAGTGTCTGCTTCTGTGACTAGTTCGGTTTGTTTGCGACAACCCTACCTACCTTACATTTAAAAGGAGAGTCTAAAACCAAACACACACACACACACACACGATGTGTGGTACAAGAGGTGTGTGTTTCTCTCAGGGAAGTCTGGGAGAAAGACAGAGGGCGTTCTCCGTCCATCCGTGACAGATTTAGTCATAAATCTGTTGGATTAATACACAGCCACCCAAGGACTCTCACAGTGTGTGTTGTTGAAACACAGGAGTCACTTAAAGCCAGACTCTAAGCACTATTTGTCTTTGGCTCTCTTTCCCATCACAGACATTGATGTTGTGAAGTCTCTCACGCACACACAAAAGCCAGGCATGTACACACACATATACACACACAGAGGAAGTAAGAAGCAAATATAAAATACAAATATACAAATATAGGAGTTCTTATAATATACTTTTATTTCTATGCAGCAATTAAAAGCTTTTTAATTTTTAAAATTGTAAATCTATTTGTTTTTTCAAAACACAAACATCCTGAAACCATAACCAGGGTGGGAACAGAATCTTTCTCTCCATCGTTGGCTATCTAATTCACCTCCCAGGGGGGGGAATCTTTACTGTCACTCTACATAGCCACGTTTTTCTGTACAGAGAAATGAACTATCTGCTGCTGTCCTCTTTCCAGCTATCAAAGATGCCCCCCGAACACAAATACCTCTCTTTGTATGGAAATTAAGGTCCAAGCACTCAGTTACTGGCCGCAATACTGTTGTCATTTCAGGTAGATCTTTTGGGTTTATTTCCTCATCCAACTGGCTTCCCGGAAGAACTAGATTGTCTAGATATTAACACAGCACACACCACCGTGGGCAGGGAAGGCAAGCATGAGATTATTTCAGCTCATTTCCATATTATTTCAAAAGGAAAGGAATAAAGTTTAATTTATTGTGTTTGGCTGGTAGTGAGGGTTCAAGTTAATGCATGTGCCCCCAAGAGATATCTTAAAAGGAAGAGTCTGAAGGAGTGACTTAAATCCCTGATGAAAAATTTGAGTCATAAATTACCTTCAAAGTGCTTCATACGAGACACGCGTAAATAGTGGGTCCTCCGCTTGTATGAATGCAGAATGTCTATGTTTAAACCACTTTTGATCAATAACATATGTTCTGCCTTTTTGTGTCTGTTAGCGAATATGGAAAGCTAATGTGGATAGTTTAATGTGTTGCCGAAGTTTATATTTTGGTGTGTTCAGTGTAATGGCCCAAGTTAAAAGCTTTATTGCCATTTCTCATTTGAACAAAAGTAAATGGCATTTCTGCATGAGTGTGTCTCATTGTCTACCAGTTTATAGCAGCATCAATCTTGTACTGCAGAGATTGGCACAGATGCCGACACACACCGACTTTTTGTCATGGTGCGGAAAAGAACCAGACTTTTATGGCACACGGTCAATTAGCAGGGATGTGGACTTGAGTGCTGACTTTTTCTCTTTCAGCACCGAACCTGTTACCTAAAAGCTGATGGATTTTAATGTTGGAAATTAAACAGCATTTTAGCTTAGACTCTTAGCCTCACAATCACAACTCAGTTATGTGACAGACGCCAAGGCCTTCCATAATGGCTTTTTATACTGAGTACACTTCTACAATTCTTTTTTTCCTCTCCTATGGCTACAGTATATGTGAGGGGACAAAGTCTGCACCATTAAAGAAGAGAATGCAGGCGCTGTTATGGATGGGCTCATGCTGTCAGTTAGCAGAAGACAGTATTTGTCTGTGAATTTTTGATGGGTTTGATTGATGTGAGTCAGCATGGCTTCGGTTTGGCATCGCTGGTGTGTTTGAAGGCTCTCTTTGTCAGTGAATAGACAGTGAGGTAACATGAGTGCCATCACACTGACTCATCAGCCCAGACCTGAGCCCTGCCTCAAGACCATTCATCAAGTATTTATGCGTAGCAGGTAAAGATCAAGAATCCTTCTCGCCTGAACCGCCACACCCAGTTTTTGTCGTATATACTTTTTTGTGCCTCTGCGATTGCTGATAGCATTCTGAACATTACCCATATACCCATTTAGTCTCTTTGTACCACAGAATTTAAAGCTATAATTCACAGCATACCTGAAATTGCACTGCTGACAATGCCTGTCCAACTGAATCAGTGCTTGGATGAACAAAGGGTCTAGAGATGTCACCAACATAATGAAAAGGGCTTTGGCCTGTAGCCTCTTTTCTTTTGCAAGCTAGAAGCCCAAGGGCAGGGCTGAGCCTAGTCCTCTTCTATCACATGCAGCTCCTATTGATCCAGCAGGGATTAATGTACTCCAGTGACTGATTTAGTGATCCTAATGCTCCCCTTTGCCTTTCCTAAAAGATTGGGCTTCTGTGTAGTTTAGCACGTCTTTCTACATTTATTTTTCTTCTTCTCTTTCGGCTTTATCCTTATGTTTATTGGTTTGGTTTTCAGGATTGACACATGAAAGCAACATATCTTTGCTTTAAAGAAGTCCATCTCTATAAGTGCACTGAGACACTTAGTAGTTGCACACTATTTTTATTTTATACTATTTTATCTTACCTCTATTATACTAACTTGTATTGTTAGTATTCTTTACTAAACATTTACATTTATGTATCAAACTATCTGACAGCTGAAAATTTTGGCCAAAAAAAAAAATCATCAGTCATCGGATGAGTTTCACTTCACACCTTTGGCTACTTGTGCTGCTCATGGCTTGACAAAGAAGGTGACTAATAAGGAGATTACGGTGCTAATCGGAGCTTATGCTGATCAGCAGCATACTTCCTTACATTTCTCCAGTGTGATAAGAAAATGTTTATCTACCAGCAGTGAAGCTGGCTTTGGGCAGTAAAAAAACCACTCAAAAACACTGTAAACACTTTATATAGCAGTTTCAGTAATAAGTTATAAGTATTTTTGTTAAATTGAAAAGTTATGAAGATACAAATTAAGTGTTGTGACTCACATCAGCTCCCAAGTAATCAACATTTGAAGCATTTGCTTATGGCACGATGCCAAATAAAAGAAAGAAACCCCATAAATTTCTCCTTTTTATGTCTTCATGTCACACTGTGTGAAACATCAGAGATTAAGTCTTCGGGTTTATTCTTGCTATTAAAAGGGTCAGGGGACAACTGAAAAGAGAAAGTGTGAAGGGGAGAGAAGATTCCCCTCGCCCATCGCTCTTGTCATGAGAGCAGCGGTGAGAGGAGGGGCAATGTTAATGTGCAATACATCATTCATAACAGTAATACTGGCATCACTTGCTTCTAAATAGTATCATTTGTCAGGGGAAAGGGCTTGGTGTCATAGTGTTACAGATAAGCTTGGGAAGGTTGCCTGGAAAGCACTCACACACAAACACACACAAACATACACACACAAAGCAGTAACTGGGAGAAGTGTAAGTGGAGTTTTGGCCTTTTTACCATTCGTGGCTATTACATAGCTTTTATGTGACCTTTGACTTCTAAATAGAATAAATGAATTCATCAAACAAAAGCACATACCATATAAATGGGCATTGCATTTGGTAAAAGATACTCTTCAGTATAATTCCTTCCTTCCTTCTTTTATATATATATATATATATGTATATATATATATATATTCTAGTAGCCTGTCAGGAACAGTTTGAGCTCCTGATGCTGCATATTTTAATCTGAGACCAACCACATGTGTTTAATGGCTTGGTTTATCTTCTCCATAGAAGAAGTTAATCTTCCACAACACTGTGGTTGGTGCACAGAGTGTTCAGTTCTCTTGAATGTATGCCTACACTCATGAAGCAAACAACTCCTCTACGGTGGAAAGGTCTGGAAGGAGTTAAAAAAAAAAAGAAACTGCTATTATTGATGACTAGGAGGTAAATGCTTAATTTGCAGTGTCCACGGCCGAATTATAACTCACACTGAAAGCAGCTGAATTTGCATAAATCTCATTAGATGCAATGAGAGGCATTCATAAATCGTTATTTTAATTAGTAACTTTTCCACCCTTTTATAGGAAAACCGTGGTATATTAATAAAACGAGAGGGTGTGTGATTGTGGAGCCTAATTGGTTGTTGTGTTAAGCAGTTTGGTGCACATGTGACAGGGATGATTTAGCGTGGGTTCTCCTCTCTTGTTTACATGTGTGTGCATGAGTGGGTGTGTGTGTCTGTGTGTGTTTGCCTATGTTGATAATTCTAAACCTTGCTTTTTGTATGTTTCTGAATACTGCACGAGCTGAAACTTGCTATGTTGACTTGAGTTCAGCACCATGGACAGTGCCTTTACCAGCAAACAATGTTCACCATCAGGGGATTGTACTTTCACAGTAGACACTACAGTGGTTCTTCCAAACTTTTTTTTTCCAGAGTCTGCTAATAAGTCTTGTTCTAATGGTTCAGTGGGTCTCGATGTTGTCCTCTGTGTTATTCTGAATCCACAGATTGGAACTGACTCCACAGTATTACACATACTGTGTAGTCAGGTTTCTGAAGACAAATCGAAACTGTCTGATGTTGTCTATTGTTTTTTTGTTTTTTTTTTTCATTTCATTGATTATTTGTTTTTGAATCATATTACATTTTAGGAATTTATTATGATCAATAACTACAAGGCTACAGCCTTAAAATTAAAAACACACTTGTGGAATGACCCTACTTGACCTTTGACTCTTGCTCAGGTTCATCTGTGGCCCAGCTGGTTGCACACGATCCTGAAGGAGAACCTTTGGTGTATGGGGTTTCTGGAGAAGAAGCCATGAGGTACTTTTCAGTCAACCAAGACACAGGTGTCGTCTGGCTCCGTCAGCAGCTTGACCGCGAAGTAAGGGCGACACCACAATCTAATACATTTCAGATTCTCTTTTACTGTGTTTTTTTTTTTAGCAAACACTAAATGTTAAGTGTAATTTAGTAGACAAAAATAGCTAAAACACAAGTTAAAGTCAGTTAAATGGTCAAATCTGTTAGTTCTGAAAAGTTCTGCTCTGCTCACTTTGATTCACCATGTTTTTGCTGACGTGTGTCTTTTCTTCACCAGACCAAGTCCGAGATGCAGGTTGAGTTCTACGTGAGTGACATTCAAGAGGTAAGAGCCAGATTCGTACTGTAATCGCAGTTATGACACCTGCCACCTACTGCTGACACCTGGATATAGTCTGACCACATGTCACATAAAGACCTTTCCCCTCAGTCCATCTTTCCAGAGTCTCTCACTTTCGTTTCTCAGCATTATTTCTGTTTCTCGCATGTAATCATTTTGACACCTGTCTCACTCTGCACAGTTTAGTTGCTGAAACATACTGACGTTCAACCTACTCTCCCCCGTGGGTAATCTGTCACCTCTTTTCATTTGCACTCACTCTTAGCTTGGTTTGCCACACTTTTTTTTCTTTTTGTGATAACGTGTCTTTGTAAAATAACAAGTGAAGAAGGTATAAGAGTTACTCCGTGCTGTGTTTTCTCCATTAGATTGTCAAAGACACTGTAAACATCCAGATTGGAGATGTCAACGATAATGCACCAACCTTCCACGGGCAGCCCTATACCATCCACATACCTGAGGTAAGGAGAAATGTTTGCCTTTATTGCATTAACGAGAGCAGCAAACTAATGCGTCAGCCATGTACCAGCCGGGGTTTCCTACATCCTGACAATACGTTGACCTGTTGTGTTGATGTTCAAAAAATCTTTCCCTCTGAAGCATCTACTTTGGAGCTGGAATTTTGTCAAAGTGAAAATGAAAAACATGTCTCAAATACACCTGCACTTGTGCCTGTTGTAACAGTGGTAACTGCATGTTGAATACATTCTGTGGTCTTCAACTTTTCATATTGCTTTTGGTCTTTTCTGCCCTGAAAATGGCAATGTTTTCTGCACACCCAATCTTGCTACAATTTGAGGAGGTGTCTTGGAGCGCACGTTTGGCATTGACAGACTCTCTTATAGAGGAGAAAAACAATCGTTCTGTCTTGATATCTGTTCTCCTCTGTTTTCCACAGTCATGTTCTCTCTGAGTATCCCCCACCTCTACGTTCTCCCTGTTTCATCCCTCGTTCTCTCATTCTTCTTCTCTGTCTAACCATTGATATAAAGTAGATACTGCAAAAGAGTTGAGTTTTCTCTACAGGGTCCAAAATTCCCACACAAACAAATCTGCATTTTTGACCTAATGAATGCAAAGTCATTTTCAATATTGACTGAAAAACCAGGAAAGGTTCAACTTCAGCTCAGCTGTGTGGAAGTTACTTGTTGTCTGTACACAGATTCAAGCTCCTAAAGCAACAGACTTCCCTTTATCATGAATATTAATACAATGATGTGAGCAGTGTTTGACCCTCAGTCACTCACATACTGTTAGCTCTCTTCCTCAGAGAACTCAGAGGCAGTGGGATGAGGTGAAAGATCAGTCTTTTCTCCAACACAAGACACAGCACTGAGTCTAATTCAGCTGCATTTAATTACAGTGAAAGAGCTGAAGCGAGTTGCGATAAGACATAACTTAGTCACGATAAATAATGCAAACCCTCTGCATGTTACGGTGCACAGTGTGAGACTAATGCAGGTGAGGTGTCTTTTATCACAAGTCTCAATGAACTCATTTGTGTTCCGTGTTTGATAAATGGAACTCTGCAAATTCATTCATATTTCTGTGACTCTTCTCCGTCGTAACGATGCAGCACACAGTTCAGTCTGTGCGAGAAAGCCCTTTGTTAAAATTCTGGAAACTTTGCTCACTCCTCCTGTTTCCCATGCTGCCGTTCCCCTTCTTCTACCCTTTTCTTCACCTTATCTTGTTTATCCACATCTTGCGTTACCTGCATTTTTATGGCTTCATTACCTCAGTGACACAAACCGACCTCTAGCGGGCAAAGCAAACACACTGCGACATCACTCCATCATGCTGTCACTCAGTGGACAAGCCCCAGTAACTTGGGGTTAGAGTGCCATCAGCACAACTAGATAGTGCTCCTGAAGTGCGGTGCACAGTGAAAACAATGGGAAACAGTGATGGACGTAGAGTCAGCAGAACAGTAAAGTAATAATGACAGAGAGACGGAAGATTCTAATGATGAGATTTCACACGAGCAGAGTCACGGGACAGTTTGAAAGAGACTGAGAGAACGTGACATGAAGAACTTTAGGGTTATCCAAACAGCACCGGGAAGAATGTTCACTGATGAAAGGCTCATGCCTTGTGCAGATGAATGAGTGTGAGTGTCAAGGTGAGCAGTGTATTAGAAAGAGCAGAGGGAGTGTGTGTGTGTGTGTAAATGTCGTTTTAATTTGTAGAGCCATAAAGAGGGTGAAGGGGAGCAGGTGGGCTGCTACCATTCCCTCTGTCAGTGCTAATGAGTTGGCCAGATTTACATCATCCACAGGCCCAAGCTTCAAGCAACAGAGACTAGATACAAAGAGTGACAGCAATCACTGGGAATAATGTTTTGATAGAACAGCAGATGGGCCAGAACCCAGATCCATTATTCGATGAGATGATAGGCTGAACTAACAATGCACTGAGAAAGGGCTTTTTTTTTATACACGAGACACAGTCATCTGTACAGCCCTGTGTTTGTGAACACCTTATATTTCTGTCACATTATTTTGATAAACAAATGCTTTTCAATCAGTTGTGGAGCCAGCCACTGACTTTATCAATATTACCTTGGATCCTCACACTCTTCCACTTCATAGTTCATGGTTGTTTTCAGAGAACCATTGGGACAATCCAACAACCAGACAATTTTTTCATTTGTTTTTATCATTCCCATCATTAATTCTACACTATGTTAATGTTGTGGAAGGTTGTTAAAGTGTTTTTGTAGCCTTCATTTTTTCCAGAAAACCAGTTCTAGTTCCTGATTCCTTTATCAAGACTCTGACATCTATCCCTTGCTACAAGATGTGGATAAGCTGTTCAGTGCAGACAGCTCTAACGTATACATAGATCACGTAGAAGACTCCAAACTTGTGTTGTAATTAAGAACGGACACACATTTGTTGCCAAAATACATAGTAAAGAAACGGCTGACTATGAATGATGGGCCAGTGATACAGTAACGTCACCATTTCTCTCTGAGTCTCCATGGAGTTTGATCTCAGTCCTGTGTCAGTGCGAGGTCCTAATTGGTTTTAGTCTTCCAGCTGAAGTTTTGTAAATTTCTCCAGGATAAATTCCAGGGCCCAGAGTGAATGCACACACTAACCAGTGGAACTCAAATGTATTCAATACTGATTTAAGCATCATCTCCTCTGGTCGGCGGTGTAATTGAATCTCCTGGTTACTGAGCTGGTTGACAGGAACAGGCCTCAAAGAGAATTCTGCCTGACACTAAGACCCTGAGCTCTATAGGGAGGTATGGAGGGATTTAGGGAGAAAGAGGGGAAAAAAAGATGGATTAAGGAAGAAGGTTAAATGGGAAGCAGCCAATATTTAACTCACCCCAGGTTCCATTTATAACTTTCTTCTACACAGATTTAGTGCTTAAGAGTGAATAAAAAGGAAAAGTTTTATTGTATCTTTTTTTAAAAGAAAACTTTAAGAAAAAGGTTTGTTTGTTTGATTTGCTGAATAATTATATCTGACATAACTGATCACAGTGACTTCATAGACTAGTTTTATATATGTGTATATATACAGTACATATATATTTCTTTTGTAATACAAAAAGGATTTTTGTTTATGTTTATGTTTTATTATTTTATTTATAGGCAGACCTACGAGCACTCCTTTAATTTAATTTTCTGTCATTAAGTGGGTCCTGTCATTATAAGTGGACTTTGAAAACACTTGTTTTGTAGCTGCTTAAATAAGTTGTCAAAGGACGTCAGCCTGTAACGCACATTTTCTGCACTTCCTTTCCAGTCCAGAAGTTAACGCATTCAGTGCTTTAGAACATTTCATTAGCTGCCACTCATGAAGCCAAATCACATCGTCTTCCCCTCTTTATGTTCCTGTCATTTACCTGATCCCACTGAGCATGAAGAGCACCTTGATTTGTGTGCAGTCTGGTGATGAGGAGGGACTTCTGTCAGAGAGGATGGTGTTTGTATGCAAGTAACAATCTGAGTTTATTTAGGATGGATGGATGATGGATGATGGATGGGTAAGGAGGAAAAAGAAAGAAGATGGGTAGAGGGATAGATATATTTTACAAAGAAAGAAATAAAGCGATGGTAGGGACAGTGCAGTGGAAGTGGAAGAACAAAAGAAAAAGAGTGAGACTGAAAAAGACTGGGTGAACGAACAGGGAGAGAGAACAACTTGCACTCCCCAAAGCCATTAAAGTTTGATTCACCCACTCCTCACTCTTTGAATAAATCAACCTGTCATTCCCTTTCACCCTTTCTTTCATGTGTGTGGGTCCCACCTCTCCATCCGCACCCCCACCCTGCCTTTGGCACTCTCCTTCCCTTGGCAGAGTTGTGAATTCTGACAAGGTTTTGCGAACATGGAAGACAGTTGTGCATCTTGTCAGTTCGTCCATATTCTGCTGCACCTCGTGTTTGTTTGTGTCTTGTGTGGGAAAGGGAGAACGACAGACCACAAGCTCCCAGGGCTTTTTGCACCTTGTATGGTTCTTTGGTTGTGAGGGAAAGAATTCTGTTGACAGAGGGAAGAAATTACTTTACAGTGCATTGGAAATAATATTCAGCTACCGGTTGTGATTCATACCAGATCGTATGTTCACATGAGGCACATTTTATCACAAATCCTGACTTCTGTTTGCTGCAGCTGACTATGCATCTCCCTCTCATTGATCTAAGTTTCATTTCCTTTATTGTTCCGTAAACTGTTTTCCCTGATAAATCTTTATAGCCTTTTCAATTTGCTCTAATCCTTAATGTTTTTCAAATCCCTAATACAATGAAAGGGATAGAGTGTTTAAGAAAACTTTCATGAACTACAGAGGAAAGTGAATAAATATTTGCAACAAACCTCCCCATAATGTATTTGGTATATGTCCTATTTACAGTTCAATTAACACCTGAGATCCCAGCATTAACAGAACTATGATACGACTGACATTGACGACAACTCCAATCAGTTACTGCCACTAATTACCATGACAAACAGATGTTTGAGCTTTAATTTACATTCCACATTGTCACTGTAGTCACATTCTAGTGCAGCATATTGTTTTCTTTCTTTAGAAAAAAAAATAACAAAGACATATTAAGAATCATTAATCCATTTAAGATTCTTTATTATTTTTTGTATTTCAACATGTCGTGTGTTAAAATACGACAGCAGCTTTGGTAATTTAGAAACGTTCATGTTTGTCTGCATTCTTTTGTGTTTTCTGATAGAATCAGTGAAGATACAGATCTCTGAAAAACATTTCCTTTGAAGTGCTTGGAAATCATGTGGAATCCAATATGATAAATATTTTCATTGTATTATTTAATACAAATATTGATTAGGATGTGTTATATATCTCAACTGTTTATTTAACTGTATATTTTTTACATATATACAAATATATGACCATTATTATAATTCTAAACAGTAAAAATAGTTATAATTAACATAGCAAAAATAACAAGATGGATTCAGAGTTTTCATGAGTGTGAAGTAAAATGACCTGATGGCTCAGTTCTGGCCTGCGGTCCTTGAGTTTGACACATGTGAGTTTGACTGTCCATTTATCCTGATCTTGCTTTTTCTTTACTGTTGGTGGAAACCCAACTCCACACAAACAGAGGGAGAACATCCAAATTCCATTGAGACTTCTTCCTGTACACCATGAGCCCCGAACACATCTTCCACCATGTGGCCATCTGCTGAATTGTACCATTAAAAATTCCTCCTAATCATGACCACATAGTCAAACAGTCAGGTCTTGACCTTTCAGTGATTATATATCACTCTATATTCTTGAACTTATGGATCATTTTAATTCTTTCTTTAGCAGATTGTGATTCACACTTCTACCCTGCTTCCATTAACCTGCCTCCTAATGGTCGGCTCAGTCTGGGTGTGAGGATACAAATAGCTCGTGGGCATATGGAACTGAACTCTGTGTTTGAGATTGTGAGTTTAAGCCACAGTTAATGCCAAATGTAATGGTCTGTGGAACATCAGCATTGAAATGTGAGGGCCCGATCAATGCTGCTTTCATCTCCGATCCCTTTCT